AATAAGCCAGTCACACAAGGTCAAATACTGCAGGATTCCACTTAGACAAGGTACCTAGAGCAGTCACATTCTCAAAGAACACAGCTGCAGGGGCTGCGGGAGGGAGGGACTGGGCAGGTACTTCTTAATAGGGACAAGCTCTCGGCTTAGGACAATGGTAAGTTCTGCAGATGGGCGGTGGGAATGGCACACAGCAAGGTGCATGGATTTAATGCCACTGAACTGTACATTTAAAAAGGAATAAAATGATGTATTTTATGTTATATGTATTTACTACAATAAAACAGCACTTTTCTCAAAAGAAAAAAAAAAAAGAAGTAATGATGTTGGTGTACAAGCCATGTAGTACCTTTAATTTTTTTTTTTTTTTTTTTGAGACAGAGTTTCTCTCATCACCCAGGCTGGAGTGCAATGGCATGACCTCGGCTCACTGCAACCTCTGCCTCCCTGGTTCAAGTGATTCTCCTGCCTCAGCCTCCTGAGCAGCTGGGATTACAGGCTAAGTTTTGTATTCTTAGTGGAGATGGGATTTTGCAATGTTGCCCAGACTGACCCAAACTCTTGAGTTCAAGCGATCTGCCTGCCTCAACCTCCCAAAGTGTTGGGATTAAAGTGTGAGCCACCGTGCCCGGCCTGAATTTACTGAAATTTATGTAAGTTAGTTCTTCACTTTCTGGAAAGTATAAGAATCTTAAATAAGTTAATTCTGCTTACAATCTGCCAATGTAGTGCTGTGGTACTATTGTTGGCTCTATTTTAAATTGTATATAATATGCATATGGTATTATGTAAGCTATCAAAACATATACAATTATATATTAAACATATATAAGCACTACAATACTTTGTTAGTGTTTTTTTTAAACGCAGTCAGTATTCATTTAGGTTTACTCATATATATAAAAGCGTGCTCAGGGAAAAGCCTCGTAGGACTCCATCACGGGTCAGAAGCCACTGTGAGATGCATCAGTGTTTCAGAATTTCAAAACAGTAACATGTGAAAAGAAAGGAATGTGCATCTTAGAATTGGAGAAATGCAATATTAAATAGAAAACAAACTCAGAGAGAGAACCACAGACTGCAACACTACTCAGAAAATTCCTTAGCGTGGGTTAGTTACTAAATGAGTTTAACCTGCAGTGATGACATTCCGTGCGTTTTGTGATGGTGGTGGCGGCGGCGGGGTGTGTGTGTGTGTGTGTGTGTGTGCGCGCGCGCGCGTGCGTGCGTGTGTCTGTCTAAGGGAGAGAGAGAGGCGTAGAAGGAGAAGGAGGGAGAAAGAAAAAGAGACACTCTGTGGACTGAGTGTTTTCAGTAGACCCAGAGTTGCATGAATAATACAAATTTACCAAAAAAATCAGAGGAGCTGCATGGCTGCCATTCTCTGTGTGGATAGTAAGACACATGATACAGAACTGGGATGTGGATTGGCTGTTGCCAGGATCCATTTCTTAAAAGAGGGTTAAAGAAGCAACTTGAAGAATACTATGCTTCTGACCTTCCCAAGTTCACAGAAATGAACCCAGATGTGGCAACAGGGCCAGCCCATCATTCACATCATAAACGATCCATGTAAAAATCGTTAGGGTGCAACATGAGATCTTGAGAACCCACAGAAACAAAATGGGGGAGTGACTTGCTTTTTCCTGTGCATGGTTTTTACTGCACCTCACATTTACTGAAATAAACCAAAAGCATAAAAACAAAAAGTGACTGCTTGTCGCATTTTTCCTATAACCAAGTGCTTCAACATGGAACACAGTTCCTTCATTACAAAGGCTCAGAAATGACTGCACGATCTCATGGGCGGCATCGTGGTCCATCCTCTAATTAATTAACATCATAAACTCGCACACTGCCTCCTGGACCTGTGCATGAGAAACAGAGCAACAGCTCAGTCTGGGAAACATAAAAAGTATCAGCAGCTGAAATTAGTTCATCAGTGTGCTGACTGATGAGAAAATGAGTCACATTTCAGTGCAGCATTCTCATGTTAATATCTCAAGTTTATTCCTGGGGCCATTTTCTCTTGAATTATTCTCTGCCAGCGAGTAATGGGCTGTGCAGACCCAGCAAGGTCAAGAAACCCAAATTGGAAGTGTTCTCAGTGCAGGGACCCTGCTGGGCAAGCCTGCTTCCCAGGGCGTGTCTGTGGTTGCCGGAGGACAGGTGGTCATGGACCTTGTTGTTATCCCCAGAAAGCCAACAGACAGAAACTGGTTTCTCCTGGTGAATTCCTTTGTGTTCTGAAGACCGTGCTTCACAGGTGAAAACACGGAGCTGGGAGGTGTGCTCCAGTAGTGAACATGAAGAACAGTCTTCTGTGTCAGCCTTAGAGCCTTTGTGAACCAGAACCAGCAGAAAGCCGGAGGCTGGGACAGGGGCAGGGCCACCTAGGCAGCTGCTCCCAGCACCTTCTGCCCAGAGCATCACAACAAGTGAGCTTTGTTTTGAAACAAGGAATTTCTCTTGATTCAGAAACAAAATATACGTTTCTGAAAGGTTAGCTGAACCCCCGGACAGAAAGTGCAATTTAACCCTGCTGGTGACACAGTGTTGCCAACAGGACGAGGACAGGGCCCACAACCTGTTTCTGCAGCTGCAAAGCTGCCCTGGATCCCTGCTTCTGAGCCCTGCCCTTTCTCACAGTGGCAGGCCCAGCCCTGAGGGCTCCTCCACTGCCTGTAGAGAGACTGCAGAGATGCCCCATTGCTAGGTGTCGATACAGCTCCTGAGTACCAGTGCAGAGCCAGTCCCTCCCCTGCTTGCTCCTGAGAATATCACTTAGCACAGGCCTCCATCCTGGAAGAACGTTCTCCTCCTACTGAAGATGCTCCCAAGATGCCATGTAGTCCCTTTTTTTGCTGTAGCAGCTGAATTCAACCCATTTCCTCTGACTGTAAGTGTGCTTCTATTGGTCTTTGGCTAGTGGGCTTCAATGGAAGTGAGCCTCACCGTCCTAAAAAATAATGCAGATTTTCTAAAGGTCCATGGAGCCCCATGGCTACTGTTGTCCTATATCAACAGCAAAGGTATGTGGTACAGAACTGGGATATGAACTGGCTGCTGTCATGGATGCATTTTGTGGAAAAGGGTAAAAGGTGGAATATATTATGCTGAATCATAAATGCCTACCCAGGAGTCAAAATAATGTTACAGGTGATAAATGAGAGACTGAACAGAGAGCGCATTCCCCCTCCCCACCACCCAAGTTTCCACCCAATTTCAGTCCTGCTGAAAGACAGATGTTGTATTGCCAGATCTTCAAATTTCTCAGCAGAAACTGGTTATCAGCATGGTGCCAGCCTCACTCCAAACACTTTCTGCAACAGAGCATGTAAGTACTCTGCATAATATACCAGTTTCTTTTCAAAGGCACAAGTGAGGTCATAGGAAAGCAAGGAAAATCTTCAGGAGCTGGAATTAAGGAGGAAGGTTGTACCTGAAGCTTTAAGGCCAAGCTGCCGCTGCTGCATCTTGGGGAGACAGGCCAGTCCTGGCAACGTGGCATGTGTTCAGTGCCCAGGGCAGAGGAAACAAGGCCTGGGTCTCCTCGAGGAGGGAGTGGAAAACAGACCACCATACAAAGATGGGAAGTTCAGAGACTAATGTATCCAGTGAAAACTCTGAATCCAGAATCACTCTGCCCATCAGTTCAGTGAGGGAAAACACGGGGTTTGACGCTGGCAAAGTTTTATGCTGAAAACACAGCACCATGTAGATTCAAGGTTTGGGGGTGTTAGCATTTGTGCAGCTAGGAAACCCCTACACTGAGGAACTAACATAAAAAGTGGTGAGATGTCACTGATTCCGAGGGGTACCCGCACCGCATCCTCACTTCAGGAAATGTGTAACGACAGTTTTCAATTAAAGTGCCACAGAGAAAAGTCAAAATTCAAGATTATAAAATGTACCAAGACACAGTCTGCCCTGAGCCTCAGTCAGCAGAGACAGCAGCCTTCCAAGAAGTTCAAGTGATAAAGTGAGTCTCTTTTAAGATATTCTAGCACACAAAGAGGCACCACATCCACACGGGGAAAAAAATTATCAAAAGAGACAAGACAAATTGAAATTTCCTGAAACAAAAATAAATACTGAATTTAAGACATGATGGATGAGTTAATAAGCAAACTTGAAATATCTGATGAGGGACCTGAGCTGGAATACGGAACTGATGGTACTACCTAGAATTCAGCATAACTGAGCTGGAATACGGAACTGATGGCACTGCCTAGAATTCAGCATAACTGAGCTGGAGTACGGAACTGATGGTACTACCTAGAATTCAGCATAACGTGGAAACAATGAAAGCCATATTAAAAGGTAGGAAGATAAAAATGAGAATGTTTCTCAATCTACTAATAAAAATCCAGATGAATAGACCGGGAATTCCAGACTGAGAGCACATAAAGAATGGGGAAGAGGCAACACCTGAAGATATTTGAGAATGTCTCAGAACTGACACAAGATGTGAATTTGCAGATTCAGACATATATAATACAAGGTAAATTAAAGCTATCCCACACTAAATATAGTACCTATACAATACCAAAGACAAAAATATGATCTCAACCAGAAAAAAAGATGATTTCTTTTTTTTTAAGATTGAGTTTTGCTCCTGTCTCCCAGACTAGAGTATAATGTCATGATCTAGGCTCACTACAACCTCTGCCTCCTCGGTTCAAGCAATTCTCCTGCCTCTGCCTCCCAAGCAGCCGGGATTACAGATGCCTGCCACCATGCCCAACTAAATTTTGCATTTTTTAAATAATAGAGATGGGGTTTCACTGTGTTGGCCAGGCTGTTGTCAAACTCCTGACCTCTGGTGATCCCCCTGCCTTGCCTCCCAAAGTGCTGGAATTATAGTCATGAGCCACTGCACCCAGCCCAGAGAAAATAATTTCAAATTCCTACAGGAAAAAAGCAAACCCATATTAGATTTCTCAATAACAGCAACAGAAAGTTTATTAGGCCATTCTAGCATCGCTATAAAGAAATACCTGAGACTAGGTAGTTTACAAAGAAGAGTGGTATATTTGGCTCATGGTTTTGCAGGCTGTACAGGAAGCATGGTGCTGGCATCTACTCAGCTTCTGGTGAGGCCTCAGGAAGCTTCCAATCATGGTGGAAGGAAAAGAGGAGCAGGCAGGTCACCTGGCCAAAGCAGGAACAAGAGTGAGCGGGGAGGTGGCATATACCTTTTTAACACCAGATTTCATGAAAACTCACTCATTATGGTGAGGGCAGAACCAAGGGGCTGGTGCTCAACCATTCACGAAGAAACCACCCCGATGATCCCATCACCTCCCACAAGGCCCTACGTCCAACACTGGGGATTACATTCCAACATGAGATTTGGACTGGGGACACACATCCAAACTATATTAGAAGCCATAAGGAAATCAAAAGTAATCTCAGCACTTGTGAGAGACAAATTCTTCATCCTAGAATTCTATACCTATTCAAACTATCATTCACAAATGAGAACATAAGGCCTTCGGACAAAGACTGAATGAAGCACTAATAGCCCTTCATTAAGGCTACTAAAGCATCTTCTCCAGAAAAAAGAAAACTGATCAGAAAAAGAAAAGATGAGGTGAAAAGTGAGTGAAGATCACGAGTGATATTTAAAGAGCACTGACTATTAAAAACAGCAGCAAAACTAACAACATTCATGATGGTTAATTCTGCTGGAACAAAAGTTGGAAAGAACTGAAATATGGAACAGCAACATCAGAAAACAAGGGGATTCTAATCTCCTTGTGCTGTTAGGAAGAAGGATGGGCAGTGTCAACTCTAGAATTTGCACATCAAGCAATGCATACTAAAAATTTAACAGAAACATCTAACAATAGAAATAAAATGAAAGCCAGTAGACAGAGAAAAGAAAGTTCAGAGAAACTGGAGCTCCAGAATTATTTTATAATAACAAATAATTGAAACACACACACACACACACACACACACACACACACACACACACACACACGTGTGTACACTAAATCCCTCAAGGGGCTACATGAAACATGCCCACAGCCCATCAGGTTGTAAACTCACCGTAAGGTGTGAGTTGTACACAAACAGTAAACCCGATGCTCATGCCAGAATGGTTTATGCCCAAGGCCTGTGGCATCCTTCACATGTTTGACGGTCTCTTGACTCCACAGTACTTTTTTAAATCACCATGAATGTGTTGGGTTGTGGGACCTGGCATCTGGGCAACTGGGTTTCTGCTTCTTGTTGACCTGGTAGTAACACCCTCAATTTGATCTTCAGCCTCCTGCTTCCACCTGTTTATTCCCCTTTCCTTTGGTGCTCCTGTGACCCCAGCCTGCACCTGCAGGGGAGTGGAATGGGAGCTAGTACACACTCATGGTTTTTATCAGTTTGAAGAACTGCATTTATTGCTTTTCCAGCTTCTGGCCTTGTTTTAACTTTTGCCTGCTCGTTTGGTTTTTATTTTTACTTTAAAATTTGATCTTCAACTTCTGGGCTTTCCTCTTAATTTTGTCGGTTCTAGGATTTTTTTCTTTGTTCATTTAACCATTTATGGTAAAATCTCTTATTTCACCTATCTTTTTCTTCATTGAGGCTTTGAAATTATCTGATATTTAAATATTATCCTTCTGGGCAGGGCATGGTGGCTCATGCCTGTAATCCCAGCACTTTGGGAGGCCGAGGCAGGCAGATCACTTGAGGTCAGGAGTTTGAGACCAGCCTAGCCAAAATGGTGAAACCCCATCTCTACTAAAAATACAAGAATTAGCCAGGTTTGGTGGTACATGCCTGTAATCTCAGCTACTTGGGAGGCTGAGGCAGGGGAATCGCTTGAACCTGGGAGGCAGAGGTTGCACTGAGCACAGGTTGTGCCAAAGCACACCAGTCTGGTCTACTCAGAGTGAGATTCTGTCTCAAAAAAGAAAAATTATCCTCCTTAATTTTAATTTTCACTTAGCTCATGGTTAACATTTTTGTGTAATCTCTTGACCTTCCCACTTTTTTTTTTTTTTTTTTGCTGGTTTATGCTTTTAAGACCATGTTAGGAACCTGAGGAGATCTAGAACACTTCTTGGCAGTTTGGCCTGCAGTGGTCCTCCTGGGCCCCAGGCTACTCTGAGGGTCACTGTTGTACCCACTGGGGGTGCTTCCCTGAAGGAAGGCAGCTTCTCTGCGCAGGGTGCCTGATGTGGAATAGCGCACCTCCTGGCTGTCCCACCAGCCCTTCTCAGAGATGAGCTCCCTGGGAGGGACACACGGATTCTGGGCAAACAGTGCCCATTAGCATGTCCTGGACAGGAGGAAACAGATGGCCAGTGGAGGCCCCTGCTGCTGCTTCTCTTCTGGTTGAATGGAAGAGGAGCCTCGGCCTAGCTCACACCTGCTGCTGCCCACTTTCTCGTCTCTAGCAGGGAAGGCTCCCCCGTGCCCACAGGCCTTCAGCAGCCAAAGGAGGAAGTTGCTACCCTTCTGCTGAGCAGCTGCAGGCAAGAGCCTCTTCTGCAGGCCACACCCCCAGCTCCGGGCATGCAGCAATCAGTGTGGCAAGGGCTGGGTTCCTGGAGCTGCAGAGAGATGGGCTAGGAACAGGGCTTCCAACCAAGGAGGGGCCTTATGCTGAGCTCATCACAGCTCCTTCCAGAAAAGCCCTGCCTCTTAGCAGTCAGGAATAAGCTGGTACCCAGTCTCATTTGTTCATCCTTCAGGAGCCATTCGGGAATGTAGATGATGAATCAGAAAGGCTCAGGCGTTCCTGGTTCCCCCGCTCTGTGTCTCAGCTCTCATCCCTGGGCCAGCCCTGGCGGCATCCCCTGGGCAGCAGGCAGCACACTCCAGCAGGCCACAGGTTTCGAAGGCTGGGGGTCAGTGTCCAGAAGCAGTCTCAGCCTTGACGGACAGACAGGGAGGATGGACCACCAGTAACTCAGAAGGGGTCCTGTTCTACCTTCCCAGGTCACCAGCAGGATGAATTGTGCCTTGGCCGGCCCCCCTGCATGCCCATGTCCCACTCCACTTCTGGCAAATCCAGTGCTCTCTGGCATCACTTCCCATGCAAGCTGCATGCACCCAAATCCTTGTCTCGGGGGCTTTTGGGGAGCCCATCGGAGATACCCGGACCCTCTTGCCAAATCCTTCCTTTATTCTAGAATCCCCTGCTGACCAAATGAGCTCCCAGGCTTCCTTGTCCACTGCCCAGCTTCTCTGCCTGTGTGAGTGACACAGACCTGCCCCTCACATGCTGCCGGGGCCCCCCAGGGCTCAGGTATGCCTGACTTTGGGAACAGATGTGGGACGGCCTGCCAGGTCCTGGAAGAGCCACTGCCCTGGACACCAGGGCATCAGCAGATTTGAAATAAACTGGAGGGAACACACAGGACCTTTTATTTTAGATGTGGCCCATCCCGGATTAGGCCCACCAGGCCACAGATCGACCCCAGCAGCAGGGCCAGGCTGGGGCTTCCAGAGAAGGAGCTTTTTCTGGTGCACCTTAATAGGACGTAAACTTCAGAGTTTGAGATTTTATTGCTTCAGTTTTAAAAGAAAAAAATAATGGTGCCAATACCCCAGAGCACCGGTCACCCTCAGCTCTGGTGGCACTAGGGGGACAGTGGCCATGCTCCCCCTCTTTTTGGAGCTTGAGGGAATTTCTTTCTCCTGAACCTGGCATGGTTTCCTGACAACTCGGATGTGGCATCACAGTCAGGCTTTCCTTTTTTGGGTGTGTGGGTGTGCTGCCGCCTGGCACGTGGCATGCTTACATAGAGGGTTCACCTCATCTCATTCCACGTGCCCCTGTCTCATAACTTGCTAAGGATGTAAATGCTGGACAGACAGACCTTTACCTGGACCGTGGGTGCGCTCCCAGCTGCAGCTGCATTCACCTACCCGGAAACTCCTCCCTGAGGTTATTTATGAACCAGACCTGGTGGTGCCTAATAAAGACACTTAGGGTAAACTGAGGCCAGCGCTGAGAGCTGCTGGAAGCCAAGTGGTACCCTGGGGGTCTGCACTGCAGGGTCAGCATCTGCCACGGCCCCTCTTTGATTCCTGCCATCCTGGTACCTCTGTCTGGACCAGTTACAAAGAAACAATTTCCCCTTGGCAGTGCTGTTCTCAACTGCATGTAGCTACCACCAATTCACAGAATTTGGCAGAAGAGGGAGAATGAGACAACCGAAAATCCCGCAACTCTTGATGACATGTCATTATCTTCAGGACTCTTTGAAACTTCGCTTCAAGTGCTGCAAGGGGAAAGTCTAGCATCTCACTTTCTATATGCGAATTTCTGACCTTCTAAAATAAGTCCTAGCCCCACCGCGTCCTGATGTCCAGGACTGGGTCTCCTAAGGAGAACACTAGAGGCATCCAGACAGCAGAAACACCTGACCCAGGCGAGTGGAGTAAACATGGAAACAATAGACATGCGTGGAGGTCACCTAAGATTGCCAAGAATGAGGGCCCAGTCTGCTCCCCAATTTCAGTTTTATTAAAACTGTTGCAGTACGTTTACACAAGCTCCAGAAGTGAACAATCCGTGTGGATTCCTAAACTCCACCCCAATGTAGCTGCGGGGTTGAGTAAGGGGGGCAGATCTGGGATTAGATATGGAGGAGCTATTCTGACTCGCCCTCTTCCCTGCCATCCTCGTACCTCTGATTCCTGCCATCCTGGTACCTCTGAGGTACCTCTGAGGTTAAGACCTGAGGGGGTCTTAAACGTCAGTGAGCCCAGAGAATGGCCACCTCTCCCTACCAGGTCCCACCTCAGACAAACATGACCGCTGGGCAGCTTCCATCTCCGTGAGATAATTTCCCCAGGGCTCCCCCTGCTGCGTCCTTGGCTGGTTTTCCTGCTCCCCAACCAGGTCTTCCCATTGGCTCTTTGCCAGGTCCTCTGTCCAGCCTTTTCCAACTCATCTCCTGGTAGCCCGTAGTGTCAACTACCCGCCCTATGCCAATAACCACTCGGCCAGCAAGCTCAGCACCCACAGACCCTCTGCTGGCTCTGCACCCACCATGTCTGTGAACAGCCCTGCCGCTGCCCACCTGGCCTTGCCCCACACCTGGCATCTATCCACCACCACCTCCTCCATGAAAATCAAAGCATCAACAAGCCCTACTTCTCCCTCGCCACCTAGACCAAGCTGCCATCCTCTC